TTTCAACGTTCTAGGTGGTCTTGACAGTGAAGGTAAGACTTCAAAAGTTTGCATGAGATGTGAATTTGTTCCAAGTTTCTTTTTTTTTCCTTCTTTTTTAATTTTTCCATCATTATGTTGGTCTTTTTGAAAAGGTAAGGGTTGCGTCTTTACATATGATGCTGTTGGATCTTATGAAAGGGTTGGATATAGTTCCCAAGGTTCCGGTTCCACACTCATTATGCCCTTTTTGGACAATCAACTGAAATCTCCAAGTCCACTGCTATTACCTGCTAAGGTCTGCACCTCCATACTTGTTACATCAGACTCATGCCTAGTAATAAATTTCCAAAACTAATGCTGCTTGATATATGCAGGATGCTGTTACACCACTTTCAGAATCAGAAGCTGCAGACTTGGTGAAAACATGTTTTGCTTCAGCAACAGAAAGGGATATCTACACTGTGAGTTTGATTTCTAATTTTTTTTCTCTTCTTTCTGTGAAAAAGAGAATGTAAAAGTCAATGGTAGAAGTTCAATAATTTAGAAATCCCAAGATTCTTCTAGGAGGACCCTGAGCTGAAAAATTTTGCTCCAGTGGCATTGAATCCTTACTTGAACCAGCATCTGATAGAATAGGAGAGATAGTAAACCCACCTGGTGAGAGCTTCCATGGTTTATTCATCCATATATGTGTGTTTGCTTTCATAACAGGCCAATGTAAAAGTGAATTGGTTACATAATCCACTGAGTTCTGGAATTGTGTAGAAATAGTTCAATGATGACCCAGATTCTGGGTATTATTGTTCTATTTGACCTGCATCACTATGCATATAAAAGAACAATCTCAAGATTCTTTATGAATTTTGTCCTCTCAAAATTTGCCTTCATAAACTTACATTTGAATTTGGTTTATTTGGGGGGAGGCTGATGGTAGTAATCTTATGATTTCGTTCTTTAGCCTTCGTTCCTCTTGTGGTCATAGCTCTGGATATGATTACCAAGAATTCCAGAATTTCATTCTTACTAGAGGCATCTATATAGTGATCTAACTCCACTGCAACTCTCGTTGGAGCTAAGTGCAGTTCCATTAGTGTAACTATAATTTGTGAATTTCTCTGAATATCTGTGAATGGTTTGCAGTTTTTTCTGCTCATCTGAAACTTTATTTGTTAAACAGGGCGACAAGCTGGAAATCCTTGTGTTGAATGCTGAAGGCATTCGTCGTGAATACATGGAGCTGAGAAAAGATTGACTTTCTACACCATGTTGCAGTTTCTGTTTTCAATATCCTCCAATTTGGACGCTCAGGGTATATTAAGCTGGTAATTGATTGGACAGAATCTGGTTTTTGCATGGATTGTAATCGCATATGGGCTTTCTGACCATACAATTTGAATATTTTCTTTATGAGGGAATGCTGCGATCATGACTTCCAACACCTTCTCATAACCATTCTGTTGAAATGGTCCCCTGTTTTCCTTTTAATCTTCTTTTGTTGTACTTGAAATTATTTACTGCAAAGCTACTGCATTTGGGTGCTAATGATATATTCTTCAACCTAGAAAACCATTATGTAGCAAGTTAAATTGTAGTTCTCATACTCGATGGCAACTAGTATTATTGTTGAGAATGTATGTAGCTGTAGCCCATCAAGGAACTATTCTGTTTTCATTGCAGTTGCGTGTGATAAAATTACCTCACCTCAATAAAGTATGCTTACATGTTACCATTATTTTTCTCCAAGAAGCTACAGGACCTGGATTTTTCTTCTAAAAGGCTAAAAGGTAAACTAAACTTAATCAAGCTTCAGCAAGTGAAAGGCACAGTACAGAAAGAATTTCAGGTCTGATAGATGAAGTTGATGGTCATCTTGTAGCATTAGAGGCTGAATATTTCTCTTTCTGCTGTGTAGTTCCTCAAGTGCTGACTTCTGATGCCCATCCTTTCTTCTCTAATTTCAACCTCAAGGCCTGTTTCAATAGTCAATAATAGATCTTTAGCTTCTTTGGGGGCCCGGCAGGGGGGTGGGGGTGGAGGAGAGCAATGCGTCATAAAGATGCATGAATACAGATAAGCTTACGGTAATGAGAGGCTCATACCTTAATTCTTTTTCGATTCACATCAAAGTCAAAATTTCCCAAACGAGATGCTGATCTATACTGAACAAGAGATTTCTTGCCCGGTGGGAACCAAAATTCGACATCATCCACAAACTGGCAACAGAGAATATGCATAAATTCTTGATCTTTAGGATTTTGTGATTTTGGTTGGCAGGAGGGTAGTGTGTAAGAAATCAGTAGCGTAAATTATTGCAGAGAACACGTACCCCCATGATAGGGCTTTCATATTCCACGCGCACATAATCATCTTTCTGCTCCACTATTCTTGGAGTGAAGTTGTCAGGTTTTGTTGATTTTATCTGCAAGATGAGTTAGCGCTGAATCAGATGATAGAAAGACTGGAATGGTAGCATCGTTGGTTGTCTTACAATCTCAAGCTTCACTTGAAGCAGTTCCCTACCACTTCAAGAAGCTCTTGCATGGCCACTTCCCTACTCACAGGGTTCATACTTCCGCGCCCCTCTTCAGGATTGTAGTTCCTACAAAGAATGACGACCCACGTTGGAAATGAGAAATGTATTCTTTCTTTCATGTCGCAATCAAATTTCACTTTTTTGTGTTGTCTGCTCGCTCCTCCTCTTTGACAAACAAGTTCATACAGTACAGACTCTCCAAAAGAACACGTGCGTATTTGTTTTTCCAAACACCACCGACCAGAACTTTTTGACTACGAACGTCCTAAATTCGGGAGAAAGAAGAAGAAGATGTATGAACAAATGGAGATGAGAAGAAATACCAAGGCGGCGCATAGTGTGTGAGATCGCTGGTATTTTCAGAAGTAGACACACAATTGTTGGTGGCTGGACAAAGCGCCAGGCTAGGAGGATTCTTCTGTATCCCCAAATAGTTTGGCTTTGTTCCGCTGCATCAGAAACATATAGAAAAGAAAACAATTTTCAGCATTCAACAATTTTATGCACGTATGGCATGGGCTTAATAAACATCATCTGTGTTGGTAAACATCAAAATAGGAGAACCTGAAGTGAAAGATGGCTCCAAGAACTGCTAATTCACTGCTTCTGAGAACTATTTCCCTGTAAAAATTGCGAGTACGTTTCCATTTCTGGTCAATTTTACGAAAGATGAAGACGGCAAACAAGAATTAAGGACAATAGGGGGGTGGAGGAGGCTGTTCGAGGTGTATATGGTAATGGTACCTACCTGCGACCCGCTTGCTGGTTCTGTGGCTGCGGCTGAGGCTGAGGCTGCAGTTGCTCAGCTCTAATGATGCGGGAAGAGGAAAAAGCATATAAACGTCTACTCTGGTATTTTGGGTTGTGGGCACAGTGGATGCCCGGAGTCGCCATAGACGCCGCCATTAGTGCAAGCTAACGATGCTGGCTAGTTCTCGTCGTCTTTCTCTGTCTCGCTCAGGTTCTTCCTCTGGAGGATGGGGAGGTTGTTGACTTGTTTCTGATCTGGGGTGGTGGGGGACTCCTCCTGGATTCCTTCCCACCTCGCATTACCAATTTTTATACGCTACGTCCTGTCCTTTCTGAGTCCTATCCCGTGGGTGTGCAGCATAAACTAAAGATACGTTGGACTTTCCCGTGTTTGTTGGTGGTCGGTACCCGACACCGTCCAAAAAATGCGCAACACAACTTTCATGAGTTAGAAAATTGGGGATTAGAATGCCAGAAGCAAACCACTGAGCTTTGGGAGAGGGACTAAGGTTTGTGTTTGATAAGATTGAAGTTTGAAATTGAAGTCTGAAATTTGAAATTATTAAATTGTTAAGTATTAAATTTAATACATTTGAATGCATATCACATTCAATGATAAGTGAATAGCTTATTACTTAATTTTGGGATGATCAAATTTTGTTTAGAAAATTTAGTGTCACTTAATTAATTCAGATGTTCATTTTTTTTGTTGTCAAATGGTCTGAATATGTTAAAATCTGAATCCATTAAATTTAAGTACTGAATTGGGTTATTAAATGAGACTAAATCTCTCTTTGAGCTGTATGTCGGAGGTTCGAACCCCACCTGCAGCAAAAAAAAATTCAAAGGAGGTGTTAGAGCAAAAAAAAAAATTGAAGATTTTGAATTAAAAGCCGCAAAATTTCCCAAAGCTCAAAAGCTGCTTCGGCTAAAAAGGTCATGTCAAAATAAACGGTAAACTTGTTATTTTCATACGCAATTCCGTTGTTTTTGGTAAAATTTTTGAAGAAACTCATGTTGTTTGTTTAAAAAAAAAAGTTAGGTTTTGATTAACGGGTGCTTGAATTCACATTAAGAGAAGTTTGAGGTATTAATCTTCACAAAAGTACAAGTACAGTTAATTGAAAAAGTATCTAAATGTAAGGTGCAATAATTGTGAATATGTATATTCATGTATTAAGTTAAATATATGTCAACTGCACTATTACTTAAAAAAAATCCAATATGTCAATCAGATGAGATGAATGAATTGAGAGGTTAAAACACAAACGATAAGATCAAATTATGCAGTTTATGCAATTTTCTTTTCTTTACAATTATTCAACTTTTGATAATATGTCAGTTCAAGTTGGAAGGAATAATTAAATTACGGGTCTTTCTAGACTTTTTTTTTTTTTAGGAAATTTGAGAGTCCAAATATTCGTAGACTAAATAGTCTAGCAATGGTTAGTAAAAGTGCAACTGAACAATAAAAAATTATACTATACAAAATTTTCTAATAGTATCGAGTTAATTAATTATGGTGAGTTGAGAAGTTTTTTTCTTTTCCTTGAAGTTAATTTTAGTTTTTAATTGAAGTAAACGAAGTTTATGATTAAAATTCAAGAATGGAGAAATTAAAGGTCGTAGATTAAAACCCTTCCTTCCCTTTTTCCTCTTTTTTTTTTAAAAAATAAAATAAAATAAAATGTCAATTTAGTTGTGGTCTGGTAGGATTCCAGTGGAAGCTTTGAAGCGGTACGGACTGTTGGACTGTGGAGCAGAAAAGGATAAAATCGTAATTTTACCAAAAGAATACACCATATATTACCAGGCGCGGGAAGAGAAGAAAGAAAGGAAGAAAGAAGCACCGAAGATGAACTACTACTGTGGTGCCCCAACAGTGGAGTTCTACTTCTAAAAGTTCGAAAATAAAATCCATTAACTTAGAAGGAAATTACTACTGGAACGTGTTGTTTACTTTGGAAATGGCTCGAAACAAGGTAACTATCGCTCTATTATTTCCCTTGATCAGTCTTTTCTTTGCTTTTTCTTATTTGAAAGTTTTAATTTGTATTTAGTTCTTAGTGGATTCCTCTTCCTTGCATCAGAAACCAGTGACGAATTAAGCTAGTTTTTTATTATCTTTGTAATATTAGAAAATGTGGGTTTTCTTTTTTTGGGTTTTCTAATTTCGTTTCGGGCAAGTTGTTTCTGCTGTAGGCTTTAGTCCTTTGAGTATGCTGATTGTCTAACGCAGCTTAAGTATGCTTCAATATGAATTGCATTAAGTATACTATAAAATCGACGTAGAAATCCATGGAATGGGGGTTTTGTTGGGATCTTGGTTTCCTTTCTTAAACTGATTGGGTTGCAAAACCATATGGATATATAGGTCAGTGCTAAGTTTGATTTCGCATTCTCCCATTCAATTCTATCAGGGTTTGATCTGGTTTTTTTATCCCCTCTGAAAGAGAAGATGTAGGAGGAGAATGTAAACATGAAAAAAGTGAACAACTTTTGATTGAAAATGTGGGTGGTCAAAAAAGTGATTTTTTTTTTAAAAATTTCTTTTTTAGCTTAAATTGATAAAAATTTCAGGATGCCTGTACAAGAAGCAATATTGAAACTTTATTGCTAAGTCTAAACTTAGATACAATATAGAGGAGTGCAATAATTCTTAGCTTAAAATTGATTTTTGATTCGGAAAATTAAGAGAAAAATATGTGGAATTTTACTGATTGGTTGACACACAAAATACCAGGAGAAAGATTAAACATCAAAATTTGTAATTGCGGTTAGTTTTATAAACCAATATGTTTCATGACTTCATCATGTTGTTTATACCCTTAATCTTGATGAAAGTGAAAGGAACGGCAAATTTTCATTTGGTTTTTCATTTGGTTATGGGTGAAAATGGTTGAGCTAAATGCTCTAGAACCATGGAATTTTTAAACTTGCGTCCTTCTCCTTGTTAGTGCATGGATATAATACCTTTTTTTTTTTTGGTTTAATGATTGTTAACTTTCCAAATTTTGACAGGAAGCATTGGTCTTGGTGCTTGATGTTGGTCCAACCATGCATGCTATTCTTCCACAAATTGAAAAAGTTTGTTCTATGCTAATTGAGAAGAAGGTATTTTTTTTCTTTTTTATGGTTTTCAATCTTTTCAATGTAGAAACTCTGTAGCTTGTTGTGTATAGTGTCCCTTTTCAAGAATTGCTTTTGCAGTGATACTGTTTACAACTTTGCAGCTGATTTACAGCAAAAGTGATGAAGTAGGAGTTGTATTATTTGGAACTGAAGGTATTTCAGAGTTTTCTTGTTCATCTATTATTGTCTTAGTGTTTTTAATGTGTCACCCACAATTTTTTTTGGTTGCTTGTTTTACATGACTTTGTGCCACGTCTGATAATGAAGTTTTTGAAAGTTCATCTGTTTTTGTTCACCCGTTTGTTAAATTTGTCAAAGGCCTTGTTGGTTGATTGTGTTTAATGTTCTTCAGCTACTGAAAACGAGTTGACAAAGGAAGTTGGTGGATATGAACATATAACGGTTTTACGCCATATAAAAGTTGTTGATGGAGATCTACTTCAAGCTTTACAAAACCTTCCTCGAGAAAGTGTTGATGGTGATTGTATCCTCTCATTTACTTATTAATGTTCTTTGAAATGTGCTTCACTTCTTCCATATAGCATTTCGGTATTTGAAACAGAGCATCTAGACAATAATAAAAAATTTCAACTTGGTAATGTTTTGACTAATTTTAGGGAGAATGTGACTTCTTGAGAGAGTGACTCTTACCGGGAGCACCCATCAAAATTACTACTATAGCTATCGAGCAGTTACTATATTAACTTCGAAGATTATTGTGTTTCTTTTCACTTACAGCCATATGGCCATGACAGTATTTTAGTAAGAGTTGTCATCTCTTGATTCCTTGCTGCCTTAACCATTTTGATAGTTCTTGATGCTATTGTTGTTGGAATGGATATGCTGATTAAAAAGTTTGGACCAACTAACAAGGGGAAAAAACGTCTTTGTCTCATCACAAATGCACTTCACCCCATTAAAGATCCATATGAAGGAACAAAAGAAGATCAAGTGAGCACCATTGCTTCACAGATGATGGCACAGGGCATGAAAATGGATTGTGTAATTGCTAGGCTAACACAAAATATGGAAGCAAATAAGAGAATAATGGAGGAGAATGATTTACTGCTAAGGGTGTTTTCAAATAAATCATCTACAAAAACAGTATATGTGGAAAGCCCGACAAAATTGTTGGGTGCACTTAGAACTCGTAATATATCTCCTGTTACCATATACAGAGGTGACTTGGAACTGAGCCCAAAGCTGAACATCAAGGTGAGAACAGATTGTTGCCTGACTTAACATTGCGGATAAGTTTATCCGTGATCTGTTTTCTCCTTGATGAATAATTATTTTTGTACACTTGAATTCTTTACATCTTTTATTACAGATAGTGTGATTTGGGACAGCGTTTGACAAGAATATCATTATACTTGTACCAAGAAATTAGTTAATTTTATTTCTTTCCTCCTATCATGTTGCTTTCTGTTTTCCCGCTTAATGCTTGATCACCATTAATGGCATTGTTGTGATTGAGACAAGAATGGCCACAATTCAGTGTAATTTTTTAATAAGGAATAATTTTCTGTGTTATTCCTCTGCTAGGGGCAATGCTGTTTAACAGAAATGGCAATGTGAAATTGTGGCCAGTGTGCAACTTAATGTGATGTGTCAGTCAAAAACTTTGGTATTCGATGTGTTTATACATGTAATCTTGATGTGGACGAAAATTTTCTTAGGCAAATTAATAGCATAAGTTGATTTTCCTTGCAAAAGTATCTAATGCTTGTTATGGCTACAAGACTTTGTGGATTGGGATATTATTCACCACTAACCATTTCTGTTTTGCCTTTCTGTGCAATATTAGAAGATTTTCTTATATAGGCAAATGGAATGGAAATGGAATTGTGTTCATCTTTCTTTCTTCTTTCTTTTAATCTTGCAGTTATGCTATTTTTCTTATATGTATAGTACTTGTCTCCATTTTGATGCAATATAGAGCAAATCTATAACCATTTGAGTGCTTGATATTTGGTTTGAATTCTTTTCTGGGTATTTTTGACATGTTATCCACTATTTCTTATCGGCCTTCAGGGAATGTTTTATTGCTGCTTGTAATTTTGCATGCAGGTTTGGGTCTACAAAAAGACATCTGAAGAAAAGTTCCCCACTTTGAAAAGATACTCTAACAAAGCACCACCAACGGATAAATTTGCCACACATGAAGTCAAGGTTGACTATGAATATAAAAGTATTGAAGATCCTACTAGAGTTGTACCACCAGAACAGAGGATTAAAGGTTATCGGTATGGTCCTCAAGTTGTTCCTATATCATCAGCAGAGTTGGAGGCTGTGAAGTTCAAACCGGATAAGAGTGTAAAGCTTCTAGGATTTGCTAATGCTTCAAATATAATGCGGTAAGAAATTTATACATCATGCAAAAATAGCCAAATTATTTCTAGATTCTTTGAGTTAGACTTATATGGTATATTCCTAATTGAATGGATTGCATGTGTACATGTGCTCTCCAACCTCACGCCCTTGAAGACACTATTATATGAAAGATGTCAACATATTTATTGCTGAACCAGGCAACGCAAAAGCCATCCTTGCTGTTTCTGCTCTAGCAAGGGCAATGAAGGAAATGATGAAAGTAGCAATTGTTCGGTGTGTGTGGAGACAAGGACAGGGTAATGTCGTTGTGGGGGTCTTAACTCCTAATGTTTCAGACAATGAAAATATTGTAAGTCCTCCCCTTTAATTAGATAATTTATGTTGGTTTGTAATTCCACATTCTCCTGCTGATTTGATACTTTTCAAACTGCAGCCTGATTCATTTTGCTTCAACGTTCTTCCTTTTGCTGAGGATGTTAGGGAATTCCAGTTTCCATCTTTTAGCAATTTACCTTCGTCAATGCAGCCAAACCAACAACAGCAGGAAGCAGCGGATAGATTGGTTAGAATGCTTGATCTTGCACTACTTGGCAAAGAGGAAATTTTGCAGCCCGACTTCACACCAAATCCTATCCTGGAGGTAATGAATTACGGAAGTATCTCATTAAAGACTTTGTATCCTTTACTTGTGCATGTTCTGAAGCATCTATATGTCTGGTTATTATGTCATGCTGCCTGTGGAGTGCTATCTGTATGCGTAATTTAGTTTTTCTATCACTATACAAAATTTTCTCCCTCACATCAGCAGAGGAAACAAAACACAATTACCTTCTGACCATGCCCTCTCTTTGCTGGAAACAGAACTGGACATTGTGTAGCAAATTGATTTTAATTTATCAACGAAAACATGTACATTTATGGATTGTAAACTTGCATCTGTAGGATCTTGGGACTGGCAAATTAAATACCTCATCAAATACTAGATTCGTATAGATGCTATAGATGAGTGACTAAGTATAAGGAATGATGTGTGACTGGAAACATCTGAAGAGATTTTTGCCAAGATGTGCTATATGGTACAGAATATTGATGTTGGACAAGTTTGGCTTGGAATGAGATCCCAAGATATGAATTACATCACCATCAAGAAAGGAATATACTTGGGAGTTAATCTCTGATACCAAGTGTTGTGCATTACTCTATTCAAATTGTTCCTGTTTGGTGGTTTTCTTTGTTTCGGTGATGTTTCCCTAATTTTCAGAGTTCGCTTGGAATTTGCAGCGGTTTTATCGTTATCTGGAATTGAAATCAAAGGACAAAGATGCAGCTGTTCCTCCACTTGATGAGACGCTCAAGAAAATAACGGAGCCTGATCCTGAAATCCTTTTCCAGAACAAGTCTGTTATTGAAGACTTCCGAAGGTGCTTTGAGCTCAAGGAGAACCCAAAGGTCTTTCATGAGTCATTATATATTCATGAATTCAATTATGCTAGCTGTTCATCTTTACAGAGTCCTCTTGATTGGTTCTGCAGCTGAAGAAATCAACTAGAAGGTTATTGAAAGAAAAACCATCTGGATCGGACGACGAAAGAGAGGCCTTAGGTAATGGTTCTGATGCCCAGCCAATGGATGCAATAGAGTACCCATCCAAAATTAAAACTGAGAAAATTGGGGATGCAAATCCTGTTCAAGACTTTGAAGCAATGATGTCTAGAAGAGATAGTCCAGAGTGGGTTAGCAAAGCTATTCAATATATGAAAGATAAAGTCTTTGAATTAGTGGAGAACTCCTGTGAAGGTGATTCATATCAGAAAGCATTGGAATGTCTAACGGCTTTGCGGAAGGGCTGTATCCTTGAACAGGTAAACTTATATTCACTCTTTGGTTGCTCTGTATCTCGAAATATACCATACTTATCCTGCAGCTTTTACTATTTAGATTTTCAACAAGAGATGTCCGATTGCTTAATACTCTGATTCTCCAAGTAACCTTAGAGCTTGTACTATTCTGGTTTCCAACAAAGGATGCTCAAGTGCTAAATACTTTTCTTCTATTCCTCTTGCCATCAGGCAGCTTGCATTCGTTTGATTGTTTCAAAATTTGCCTAGAACTGTATGACCAGGTCATCATTTAGCTAGGTGTTGAATTTCACATTCACTGCAATTGTTTAAGATCAAATCCTAGTATTAATTTTTCTCATGGCAATTTGAACTCAAAATGTTAAGGTGGAGCATTTCCCCTACAAATTTGTGCAATTTATGTACTTTTGTGGTGCTTAAATAAACTAGATTGAGGCATGAGATCCTCCCTTTTAGAGTACTCCAGGAAATCCGGAAATTTGGAGGACTTCTTTATTTGCTAAATTTCATGATGCCAGATTTAAATCCTCATATCAGTTAATTGGCTTTAAGTGATTTTTGGTAGATCTCTATTTTAAATTACGTAAAACTTAATGTACAATAGAGTAGAGTTTATCATCCATGTGAAGTAGATTATGGGTGGCCTTATATGATACAAGGAGAAAGTTGGGTGTGATAAATTTGTGATAGTTGTTTGACCATTGTAACATATACAGGGTCAAGGTTTAATTTGGGCTTGATGTGATGTTTTAGTACCTATTTGAAGAATTTTATATGTCTGGGAATATAATTAACTTATTCTATAAGCTTAAGGACATCCAGAACAATACAACCCCCAGTAAGATAAATATCCCTGTATACAGGTTCCATGCATCTGTTGTTGTCTCTTCCCTTCCAAACTCTGCCAATTTGACATAAGAATCTATTTATTTATCATTTTTTTGGTGAATAAGGATTTGTTAATTGTTTTTTCATGTATATTTATATGCATGCCGACGGGTCCTAATATGTGCAATTTTTCTTTTGCAGGAGCCGAAACAGTTCAATGATTTCATACTGCATCTTTACAAATTCTGTCAGCAAAAAGACCTTAAAAGTTTTTGCGAATATCTTGCTTCTCACGGTATCACACTAATTAGCAAGACAGAAGCTGCTGACAGGTCTGATTATCTCTGTGTACTCCTGTTTCTAATTTTCTTTCTTTAAATGCCCGAAATTGCTTATTCCCTGTTTTTATGCGCATATTCTTGCAGTGAAGTTACAGAAGATGAGGCTAAAACCTTCATTGTCAAATCTGAGCAAGGATTTTGAATGGTTTTGCATGTTGTTGTAAAGTGGAAATAGGGAATCAAGATGGTCGTGTTCTCAATTTCTTGATACATGTAAAAAAGTTGGTAGTTTGTATTCAAGACAGAAATGTTTACTTCCATTTAAGATTCTTATACACAGGCGCAGATGGACCTTTCTACTAGTATCAACCATACATAGATATCGAAGTATTATTGATAGCTGAACAAGGAATTGAAGTGCATCGTGGTGGGAGAATTGTTTCTCCCACCCCACTACTGTTACTTTCCAGGAGATTGTGCGTGTGTTTTGCTGTAGGACCAATAATTCTGGACTCACGTCTCGATCTAGTAATGCAAGTCCATTTTATGAACCCTGATTGCTATTCCTGTCAGATATAAAATGAATCTACTGCTCCCACCATCTTGTCCAGAATTAAAAATTTTGCCTGAAGACGGATGAATTGTGACCTGTACCATCAGACGACAGCTCTGGAGGTTTGTGCAAATTGGAGTATTTCCTGTTGACACAAATGAATCTCAATTTGTGGACGGATTTTACATCAGTTTGATCAATCCTTCTAAGCTAGTCAAAATGTGTTTTGGCGTTTCTCTTGGCTCAGGTGATACGAAACATAGAAATTAAGGTGCACCAACAAATCCACATGCATTACCAGCCCCTTCAATCAATGATCGTTTTTCATCCACTTGAAGCTTATTAGCTCCTACATGACTTATCAGGGACGCGATCACCATTTTGATGCATCTATGTAATTCTCAGATGGTGTATTAGAACAGCGGATTTAGGGGCACAATCACATTTTCTCAGAATATTGCTTATTTTAAGATCAGAATATTATATAAAAAGAAACAGGATATAGTCATATTAGCTTCAGAGCCCAAGACACAAGTTGATTATGGATATACTGACAATTGCTCCACAAGTTGTTTTCTTTGGCAAAGATAAGAAATTTGTAGATTCAATAACGTTGCAGGATTGAGGTAGGGTGATGATACAATATTCTTCAGGGTGATGCCCCAATGTCTTCCTTCTAGCTTTTAGCATCACTATAGACGTATGTGTTCCACAATAAAATCCTCCTGCATGATCCATTGTTACACAAAAATACATCTTCTCAGAACCCATTGATCATCTAGTACTCTAACAAGCTTACTTCAGATCCCAAATTAAAACACCATTTTACTTTAGGCTGCCTCTCCTTGCATGAGGTTCTTTTTTTTTTCCCCTCTTTGTGGAAATAAAACCATTATATCAACGGACACCAGCCAATTCAACATCATACGCCAGCCACGAATTTGGCGGCACATTTTCTCCAGCTCCCTTGCTCCCATAACTGCCATAGAAACAATATGAAGCCATTTTAGTACAGTCTATTGTCTATTGAATTTCTTTAAGTAGTGTCTAATGTCTTTCAACATGCGAGCTTAATATTGGTATTAAGCTCCACACAGATATTTGAGATTCAAAATAACCAAAACATAGAAAGTGGCAGTCTAAAAACATCTGAACAGAAGGAAGCATATACCCCAATGCAGGTGGGATGATTAGTCTTCTCTTATCACCGACATGCATGCCTGAGAATTGTGTACATGGCAATGGAGTTATAATGCTGCCAATGAAAGATGAATAGGGAAGATCGAAATATTTCCAGTTCAAGAAGAGCCTACCTTCGAGACCAATATTCCATCCCCCAATAATTGCTTCATCTCCTGTTTGTTATTATTCAACCAAACAAAATGAGTGGCCCAATTTAGAGATTTGAAAATTAAAAAAAAAAAGCAGTTTTCTAGATCGTTTTATTGTTTCATTTTGGGGTTTTATATTCTTAAAAGGTGGGGTGAACAGATGTGCTTTGTTTTATACCTAGACGAAACTTGTAGGGGGAGTTGCCAACATTAGAGTCAAATACATGTCCACTCTCCTTTAGCATGCCAGTATAATAAACTTTGACCTGCATCAACATTAACCCATTTCAACAATCAGTATCACTTTTTCATAGTGTGTTAAGAAGTTTGGATTCATGCTACTGTAATGCACTGATTAGACAAAGAATTACCTTTTTCCCAATAGCAGCTATTTTTCCTTCTTGTTTGCCCAATGCCAGCTGCTCTATAACTAATCCATTTGACAAGGTCCTTACTTGACATGATTTGGATGGTTCTCTGGACTCATTTTCAGACAAAAGTGATCCACTCACATTCATGTTTTCTTTATTGTCAACAGTTTTGGCCTTCTTTTTCTTCTTTTTGGGTTTCTCAAGTTGATTTCCTTCAGCTGCAAAGTCGAAGTTTGTGCCTCTGCAATTTTACATAACTGAACCAGTTAATTGTAGATCAGGATAAAATTAGAATACTTTCTACGAAAGAATTTTATATCTTCTTTCTCTAGGTAGAGAGGGACTCATAGTTTAGTGATACAACAACTAAAAATAAGTCATTAAAATAAATAGAAGTGTGCACAAAGATAAAGAAAAAGGAAAGAGAAAGCCCAAATTCTCACTCATCAGCAGTCTGTTTCTTATCTTCTGAAGTTGTTGCAGGCAGATCACTGACAATTTTCTCATCCTTTAGGAGATTTTCCTTCAACTGATCATCCACAAGAATTTTTTTAGAGGTAGCATCATTACTTCCATCAGACCTCTCTTTGATGCTACCCTTTTTCCTTCTTTTCTTTGAAGGTTGGTCTTTCTCAGGATGAGGCAATGAACTAGGACCATCAAGATCAATTTTCCTGCATGCGTAAAGTCACATAAGACAATTACCATCACCAACTCCTCCCAGATCTGCCAAACAAAATACTACTCCTAATGTCAATGAAGTAAGAGTATATATAGAATACATATGACTGTTACAAGAAAAATAGTGCAAACATACAATCAACAGTGATACAACAAAAATATCTTACCCATTAATAGTTGGTTCTTGGTTAGATTCATTGGGCATAGGAAGATCTTGTTCCTTGTTATCAGTCTCAGCTACAGCTTGCATGACTTTATCCTCTTTTAGGGACATCTTGTGATTACTATTGCTGCCTTCAATAATTTTGTCACCATCAGCTTGTTCTTTCCTTTTTCTCTTAGACTTTTTGTTGTTTACAGGAGCAAGTTCGCTAGTAGTGTTCACGTAAACAGAATGAAAATCAGACACAGCTCCTATGTATCTAAAAATATCATATAAGGAGCACTAATAACTTCCAGAAGTCGCCTAAAGATATATACAAGTGAGATGCCCGCCCCACTTGCACTGCAAAAAGGAGTCATTGTTGAGCAAGATTGAAGACATGATGGAACATGTTCAGTCAGAAACCTTTTGAGAACCTTTTGAGAAAGTTTAAAAATGTTCCCCTGTTTTACTTTCTTAAAGAGAATCATAAAAGGCTCAATACAACCACAATGATGACAGTGAATCCCCTCAGCTAACATTGAGGGATGAAAGTAACCTTTAGGATAGCACATCATCATGCAGAAAGTATCACAGTATTTTCTGCTCACACATTGAAATTTTCTACTCATCCACCTCCAATCTGGAGAGTTCAATTCCTAAAACTGAAAGTGCTCCTGGTTTTACGGGACTTTCATCTCATACACAGCAATGGTCTAATACACATGGTTTTGTTGCTTGAATACAAAAAAAAAATGAATATCCATATGATATAGATTGTTCCATGCCTGACTATGCATAATTATCTATCTCTAATTTTTCTTTCCTCCAATCAGAATCCTACGCCTGTTGGCCATTCTTGTTAACTTTTCATACTACCTCTACAGCATGTCAAGAAAACAAATGATCACAAAATTATACTGAACCAAATATTTGATCTCTTTTGCAAAGTGATCAGATAAATTAAGCCAACTTGATTAAATATGGCCCTGCTAATGCTTATTGTTCTATTTTTTCTTACTCTATGTGCATTCATGTCTCCTAAAGATGGCATATGCATGCATAAATTAGGTAGACAAGATGCAGAAGGAAAGACTGCTAGAAAATGAAATCGCTTGCCTCTTATCTTCTTTTTTACTTGCATGCAGACTCCCAGATGCGTCATCAACCTTTGCCAAATTTGCGTGAACTTGATGTACAGGGGAATCAATAGGGTTAACAGAATAATCTTCAAAAGTTTCTGCCTCCTGGGAGAGGCACCTGATTTCCTTTGGCTCCATCTCTTTATCTAATTTGACTTCATCAGCAGGAAATGATGCATTACATGGTAGGGTTTTCCTGTGCCCAGGAATTTTGAAAAACAATCAACAGGGACCCAATGAATAATAGTACCTAAATTTGTACTATGGGGAACAACTTGAAAGAATTTATCCACTACACAGGTCACCGTACCGTATAGTGAGATTGAATTCTGGAGTTAACAAAGAAAGCAACATAGAAAATGAAAAAATGAGCAAAATTAGGAAGAGTAAACTTCATACATGCATTCTAGTTTGATGGAGGCACATCAACATAACTAAGTTCACTAAAAGAGATAATGTGAGAAGTAATGCAACTAAAAGCCACCTCTTCGGTTCTTTTGGCATGGTAACAGGATCAGCTTTTTCCTTTGATACATGGCCAGAAGCACCACAATCTGCTGGCTCAGCAATTGTTTCAACTGTTACCTTGTCTTTTGCAACCATATTATTCTTAGATGCAGATATAAGGTGATTATCATCATCTTCACTCTCCTGAGAAGTAGTTTCGTCATCAGAATCAATTATAACAAATTTCTTCCCTTGCAGTCGTTTACTGCCTTTCCCTTCTCTCATCTCCTTCACATCGTCCATCTCCTTAACAACTGGATCATCAACAAATCTAAACTTCAGTGAGATTCTGACTAATAAAATATGAAAAACATCACAGCAAGCATGCAAAAAAGAAAAGACAGATAATTGATGACAAAAAGCTGATAGAGGGAGGAAACACACAAGTCCAGATAAAGAAAATGATCAGCCATTGCTTCAATCCAACAAGGTCAAACAACTTATTTAGAAACACATACTGTTGTAATGTAATCAAATCCATCACTGCTGAATGATTAACACTGATACCTTATTTGTTATACTGAAGAAGATCTGATCAGCTAAAAACACTAAACAGTGCAAACATATGCAGCGAAGATTTGTGATTTTTGTTAAACATATCAACAATCAGCTTAAGAGAAGATTTTGAGTCAATGATGCTGAACTTCTGCAGAGAAAGAATGAAATTAAAAAGGGTTATGCTGCATATACCTCCATCAGGTGAAGGTGGTGACAGCACCGGATCACTATCATCAATAAAGCTATCTTCATATTCATCCTCATCACTACGTAAACCAGATTCTTCTGTCTCAGTATTTGCAATATCCTCGCCATACGACTCTCTTTTGCAACAAATGAAGGAAATTTAGAAGTTTCAAGCATCTACCTCAAAGCAACAAAATGACAAAAAGCATGTTTCCTTGAAGGAGGGAGTGTGGTAAAGGAACACCATAATATCACCAAGATTGTAACGACTATGCGACTTAAGAGCAAAGTTGAGGACAGATAATTCAAATGGCATGCTGTGCCTCTAATGCTTTTGTAGAAAGCAATGAGAATCAAAAAAGACAAAAAACAAACAAGAAAGGATACGTATCACTGTTCAGAGCTGGATGCTGATCATTGCTAACATAGTAACCAGTAAGGTAAACGCTTCGAGGACCAATAACAGAAAAAACCACATCATCCGCCTCCTCAAATTCCAAATCCAAGTGGCATGATTCTGTCTTATCAGGCAATAATGCACATAGAAAAACAGGACTCTTGTTCCCCACATTACATTGGACTAAACTCTTTGTTATTGCTGATCCGATTCCCAGTGTGGCCTAAACAATATAACAAGAAATCCAATTAAATGACAAAAATGTAATCCTCGTACATCATACCATCATGAAAGAAAAGAAAGCGTGCAACAAAGATAATCAAATTTTCAGATCCAGTATCAGATATGACACAAAAATCAACATAACTTTCAGTGATTCTCCTCTTTCTTTCTTTTTCTTCTAATAGTTTTCCCTTCTCTCTCCTTTTCTTAAATTCAATGTCAAACATGGATACTCAATAGAAAATCCATCGCAGAAAAACCCAATTAATTCTTAATTATGAAATTCCGAAAAATGGGCCGAAATTTTTTTAGAGGAAGGAAAAAAAAAAGCACCGGAATAGCAAATACAAACTGGAAAAATGCGAAAAACCAATCATTCAAATATGCATTCTTGAGAATTATTACCTGGGAAATTCGTAGCCTTCGACGTACTTTATCAAAAGAATGAGTAACGGGCTTTCCCGGTTTCACTTCAATTCCTGAAAAATGTAATCAGAAAAAGAAAAGAACCAAAACTCCAATATTGTTAGTGGGTTAAACTGGGGACGTAATAATAAGTATATCACCAATATAACAACGCAGCAACTGACCCCAGAAAGCCATTCTTGTAGAAGAAAAGTTTTGAACTATTCAGGGTTTGATTAATTTGTTTTTCTGTCTGAAATCTTCAAACCCAGTGGAAAGGAAAGTGTAACAAAGATTTGAAGGTTCTGGACCTTTGGCTTAATACTGCTCTTAACCCCTGGAGTTTTTATAGGTCTGATACGGGCGGGAGATCTTCGACTTCTTGGGTTGCTAAGCTATTACTTAGAAGGGCTGAATATTTTTGCGAAAATGCACCTAGACTTTAGAAAATTATACAGAAACCCAATAGATTTCTGTTTGTAATCAGGAACACAAGAATTTATTTCACAAAATTAATTAATTGTCAAAGGAAAAAAGTCAGGGGAAAGAGAAAGATAGCGACTGATGAACCCTTGTGAATTAACCATGGCGGATTTATTTAGACTCAGAACTTACTTAAAAGTTAAAACAAATAGTGGAGTAATTATTAAATTGATTAACAACGTTGTTTTTATGACTCAAAATATGTTAGCAAGTATTGCCTTTTTCGAATGTACTCCCTCCGTTCCACTTTAATAGGCCTGTTTCTTTTTTCACACGGTTTAAGAAAAAATAGTTAACTTTGTTGGAAAAGTAAATTTAGATTGCTATTTTCCTAAAATACCCTCACATTAAATATGGTACAACTTTATGGAAACTTGAATTGATGGTAAAAAAAGAATCAACTCTCATTAAATGGGGTAGGTTTATAGTAACAACTACTTACATTGAATAAAGGTGTTTTAGAAAAATTAAAATACAACTACATTCTTCAATTGGACAGTGAACTACAATTTGGAACAGATGAAAAAGGAATACAGGACTATCAAAGAGGGACGGAGGGAGTATTTCTTAGCATCTTTTGGCCCTGAAGTGAATGATCATACGTCAAGGTAATTTAGAGTGCAAATGAAACATATACATAGGAAGGGCACATTTAATATTTAATTAATAGTAAATCATAATATTGTCCAGAGAACCAAAATTGGTCGTGCAAATAATAAATCTTAAAGGAAAAATCTAAATTTTAGTTGAAAGTAGACAATTTATCATTGTTACCATTTGGTATAAAACTATCTAGAAATCGTCTGTGCAAAAAATTGATGTGTTGTTCTTTTCCTTTCATGTTCTACGAAGGTGAGTTATTACTAGTTTATCTGTTTTTTTTTTTCTGTTTTTATCACAATTATTTGAAAAGTTCTACGTACTATAGTACCGAATATAACAATGCAATTAGGGAACCATTTATCATTAGAAAATACTAACAGTACACCTAACAAGTACTAATTATATATATATTTTTTGGTTCCTACTCTGTTTGGATTGCTATTTTTAGAAATTTTTATAAAAAAAATATATATACTATAACGCTTTTATGAATATTATATAAAAAAGTGGTTGAAAAATATATTTACAGAAATATAAAAATTTTTCTACGGAAACTAACAATCCAAACAAGGATTAGTTGCTACAGAAAGTGGATTAGGGGCAGTGGCAGCATAGCTCAGTAAATTTCCCCATACATAAGAATAACCGGATATATCCACCGAGAAACCAAGCACCATGCCTCCTAGGCCAATCCTTTGTACATTTTAGCTGACTAATGAGTTTAGCCTTTCCTATGATCTATCCTGCCCCTGTAATTATTTCCTAACAGTTCTTGAACTTTTCACAACCAAACTCATTGAACAACGTTTTTCTCTTTCAATTTGGTTGGTCACTACGAGGAGCAACCTCTTCTTGCCGAGTAATTACAGTATTGGCTTGTTTGGTGATTGTAAATCATTTAGTCAAATCCAAATGCAGCAGAAGAGTGCGAGCCCTGTTGATAATTCAACATCAACAGCCCCTCCAAAGCTTATACTCTACTCCTTCTGGCAGAGTTCTTGCTCTTGGAGAGTCCGCTTTGCTTTGAATCTTAAAGGTTCTCCATCAATCCTGTTTTCATTTCTTGCTCAAGAACTTATTTTTGGTATGCGACTAGGAACTCTTTTAATTTTGCTGTTGTTGACTCACTTATTTGTTCTTTCTTTGGGAGAACAGGGCTTCCGTATGAGTATAGAGCAGTAAATCTTAGCAACGGAGAGCAATTCAGCCCAGGTTCTCTCTGTGTCCTTCTTCTGGCCTTTTGATTGAGTCACTCCTTTTGTTCTTTCTTTTTTTCTTTTCGACAATTTCATTATGTTTTGATACGTTTAGAATCGTGAAACATTTGGAGGAAAGCTATTCTTTACTTCTTTTTCAAAGAGAAGTTAATAAAGTTTTGATAAAAATCTAGAACCAAACAAAAAAACTCAGATAATTTATAAAATGTGTCATTTTAGTATTAGAAGTCAACTGCAACAAACAGTGCGATAAGATTTCCGTAAACTTGATGCCTATTTCATAGTACTTATCAAACGATTGATGTATCAAGTTTTTTGCCTGCTCTTTACTTTGATGTAATCCAAGATACAGTGTTAAAGTCGTGCTATTGCACATGTGGCTGAGAAATGCTGCTATTCATTCATTTTCATGGAAATGTTGTGCAGAGTTTGAGAAAATAAATCCACTACATTATGTTCCTGCGTTGGCTGATGCAGATTTGGTGGTATCTGATTCATTGGCAATATTGCTGGTTCGCTCTAAATGACTGTTTACTCTGTTCTTCCTACTTATTTTCCCCGATAAGGTTTTCCTTTTAATGCTTTTCTAACCTCTGTGCAAATTCTCTACTGGCAACTATTGGCTAGTATCTGGAGGAGAAGTATCCCCACAAAGCATTAATGCCCGTTGATCGTCGACTACGAGTCCTCAATCTTCAGGTTAGCTCCAAAAACTTCTGTATTATTCCATGAAGGCCTTAGGATGACCAAGATATGGTTGTACCTGTAAGCATTGCATTACCAACAGGGCCAATACATAAGTTCACCTTTAAGAGAAGCAAGAATAGGGAGTTACTCAAACTAATTAGTGAAGTATAGTCTTTGTGATGCGGTAAAACAACATTTGCTGGCTTGTTATTTCAAACATAAGTTTCCGTCAAGACAGGAACATTAAGTGTTTCACATGGACAGCTCATGCTGTTTACCTATTGATGTTTTTCTGCACTAAGTAAATAACGCTGATGCTTGAGATTACTTGTTCAAGCAAACTTCTTCTTCGCTCATTGGAGGAGGTATGTTTCTCTTACAGGCTGCAAACATTGTCTCCTCCAGCATACAGCCTCTGCATATGGTATCAGTGCTGGTATAAAGTTCCTCACCGCCATTTTGATATTTTAGGCAGGATAGAACCTTTAGGTTTAGTTTCTCATCTCTTTTCCATTTTATAGAGGAATATTGAGGAAAAATTTGGTTCCGAAGAAAGATCATCATGGGCTCAATCTAAGATAGAGACGGGCTTCTTTGGTGAGTATTTATGTTGGAATCTGTCATTCTGGTTACTGCTTTTCTTATGTTTCCAGGTTTGAAGTGATCCCTTCTCAGTTCTTACCATGCTTTAGCAACTGAGTTTTGATGATTAAATCGCAAATACTTTTAGGAAAAATTCAAAACATAAACTTCATTTTGCCATCTGTGTTGTCCTTTCTAGTTATCCCAAGTGCTCAAACTTCTTCTATTTCAAAAGGGAGATCGCATTTTCTTGTATCCCCTCAAGTCCAAAATCATGATGTAGATTTGCCTATGATTTCATTGGGCTTCTATGGGTCTGAAATCTGTCTTAGCTGTGTTGGTGCAGCTATACACATCACAGTCAAACGCTCTTTAAGTTCACCAGCCATTTTCATCTGTTTAGATGAAACTATTGCTCTTATCTCATACGTGGATGAAGATCACTTAATAGATGACACAAATGACATCCCAAATGTGTTCTTTGTTTATCCTAGCAAATGTAGTATTTGGAAAAACAATTAAATGGCAATGTATTCTTTGAACTTGTCCTGCAGAGAGTTTTGTCTTTCATCATGACATATTGAACGATTTAACTGCCCTTGCTTTCTCCGAGATCTTCAGATATTGTGTTTTGGAGAAGAAAGAATTGGTACTATTGCAAGTCTTCTAGAGTTCTTGTTACTCAAGCCAATCATGTAGATGCACTGGCTTACTTTCTTATAATGATTGGAACTTGTGCAGATGAGTTAGTAAAAAAAACTCTGATTTATCACTGAGGAATCATGGTAATCACAAATTGGTTCTGATTCAGGGACTACTCACAAGATGTTGTTGTTAACTGGACAAAAACTGTTTAGATTCTTGTTAGATTAAACATAGAGTTTTATGAGTTTATCATATGAAATGGACTGAAACAGATGTTTAAATAATTGATAAATCAATAAAAAAAAATCTAATTACTGGAAAATGTGGAAAAAAGACTCTTTCAAACTGTTGCTTACGGAACTAGACAATGACTGATCTAGTCAATTCTTATCTGTGACTTTTTGAGGTCTGGTATTCTTGATCGATGAGGAACATTGGGGTCATGCTTTAAATGGACACTGCTTGTATCTTGCATTTTGCACCTCAGTGCTCATCTATTGCCGTAATTTTTTGAGGTAGTTGTAATACGAATTGGATCTTGTTTCTGTGCAGCTCTTGAGAAGTTGCTAAACAGCCTTGCTGGGAAATATGCTACAGGAGATGAAATATACTTGGTATAGTAGTAATTCATGTCTGATTATCTTTTTATTTTGGATTTGAGTATGGAGATAGTCGAGTATCAAATAGAGTCATCTTCCAACAACCTGAACTGTTAAGAATGTTGTATATGTATGAATATGTGAGCATATTCTTTTGTTACTGAAAGTCGTATAAATGTGGAGATCACCAATTGAATTTGGATGGAACAGAAATGAAAACTGCTTTGTTGTTTTTGGAATTGAAACTACCTGCAGCTAAAAATCTGTCCCAGGAAACAACGAACAGAAAGTTGAAATCTGATGGTTTCAACGGTCATTATTGAACTTGGACTTGTGGATGTTGCAGGCTGATGTATTTTTGGCACCGCAAATTGCTGTTGCAATAAAAAGGTTTAATATTGACATGGTAAGTCCCAACACAACAATACATACATGTACCTGTCATGCACTGAGACATTGCTTGTTTTGTGTTTGCCTCCAAACCAAAGCCTTTTGAGTTTTACTCCATTTGTTTGTTGACTCATAGCTGCATCCCATTGTAAACCTCTGAAAGAACATACTTGGTATGTTGTGAAATTTGTTTCTGGATGCCCACAAGCAGGAATATTCATCTCCCAGAAACACGACCATTGTTTCCTTTAGAGTTTATACATGTTTCCTGCACTGTGCTTCTGAAGATAGTTTCCTTCTTTGGTGCAATATGATTTTTAAGTATCATATTGTCCTTTTCTTGTTCTTTTGCAGTCTAAGTTCCCTACATTGAGCAGGATATTCAATTCATACAAGGCTTTACCAGAATTTCTTGATTCTCTGCCCGAAAGACAACCCGATGCGGTTAATTGAAAGCTTTGAGATGATGACCTGCGAATCTGCTGTTGCAAAGTGCAGCTGTTTATCTACATAGGCTCCAATAGTTTCAAACTTGTCATGGCTGAGATATTAGTCTGTGTCTCCCTATGATTTCTGGGAATGCAAGGATAATATGTAGCATGTCTTTCCCAGAATAGCTAATGTGGAGAGGCATCAATCAGTCTCAATTTGTTGGACGCCTCACTCCAGCAAATTAATTTGGTGTTAACTTTATCCATTAATCCTTAATTACCACAAGACAGGATAACTGCCAATTAACATAACTACCAATAACCACATCAATATAAAATCCTATCTCTCAAATATTAGAGTATCAATACTAATTCTATCCTTTTTAATCCCAATTTATATCTTCTTCTATTTATATCCAAATCCTCCAAACAAAAGCTAAATTAATTTTTAATATGTTATTATTGTAGTTAATTAAAACGCATAGCCTTTGTGGTTTTAATTAACTACCAAACTAATTACAAAGCATTTGGTTCGTTGGGCCTATCAGGCTGGCTCAGCTCCAAACAGGTGTCTATTGGACCAGCAACATGTACCTTTCAAATCAACCAATGAACAGGTGTCTATTTTGACTTTTAATTCCTAGGAGTATAACTCCACTAGCAATCTTAGTACTATTTGACATCGATCTGACAACAATACATGAACGAGTGAACGTGGTTGATTCCTGACTGAGGGCTAAGAAATATCTCTATTAATTCTTCAAGTTGAAACTTACAATCCACTGCAAACTAAAGAGCCGAAACAGTACTATACTGGTATTAAAGGCTAGAGGGACACAAATTAATGGAAGGGGAGAAGATGGAGAAGGGGAGAGTATGTGTAACAGGTGGAACTGGATTTTTGGCATCATGGTTGATCAAAAGGCTTCTTGAAGATGGTTATTCTGTCAACGCTACAATTAGGTCCTCTTCAGGTTTTCATGTTTGTTGATTTACTAGTAATCAGTTCTCTACTTCTCCTACTTTTCCATTTCTGTCTGTATCGTTTCCTCCCTCGCCAACTATATACAACTTGCCATTTTAGTAAACGAACCAAGTACTATAAGAATTGAACCCTGCTGATTATGCCAGAAATCCACTTCTTTTCTGGCACCCCAAGTAAAAACCAACCAAGATTACGTTAGCATGCATGTACTTGTAATGGTAATGGATAATAATCTTTTCTATTCTTTAGCCGTTGTTTTCATCTGTATAAGACAATTGGTTGTTGATGATCGAATGTGAATATGAAAATTTCTGTGCTCCAAACTGTACTTATCCTGTCTGGCAAATAACCCTCAAATTAATCTCGTGAAACAGAAACACTATTGACGCATTTTTGTTTTATGTGTAATGTTATTGTTTCATGATAACAAAGCTATGATAAAGCCACAAATGTACTCCCAGGATCAAAACACCATCTGATTAGACATACAATATGTGCTGTTAATTTTAGTTACCATAAGAAAGACACCAAAAGAAAGGAAAAAAAAATGCACCCGATCTCTGTTGAGGTTCCCCTTGATGGTTTTATTGATGTTTTCCCCCGTTAAGCAATAGCTGGGACAGGGCGATAGTTCTAGCAAGATGTAGCTATATTTCCAGGATGCAAATAGATGACCCATACTTTATGACTTCAGAATAATTTTGGTGTCTTTTAAAACCATTGAGACCGAGGTCAGGGAGTTTCGAGTCCAAGGTTTAAATCCTGAACCTAGCAGATGGAAGTCGAGAAGGTGGGGTGGGAGGGATTTAAAAACAAGAATCTTGTAACCAATATTGGTAGATAATACTAATGTGTTTGAGATATTTAGGCTACACTTTCCCACAAAAACAGTAGTGTATATGTAGCCTACAATTCTACCAATGCTGCATGATAATCTATCCTTGCTTAAACTCTGTAAGAATTTATGCATGCAACAGCACATCTATGAGATTGGATCTCTGAGATCAGATTAAACAAAAATGGTTTTTCAATTTTGTTTCTATACATGCTAAAGGAAGGCTTATATTAGCTAAGCTGCGACATGAATGAAGTTTGAGCTTATCCAAGAATACTCAATTGAACATCACGGGACAAAAAGTTGAATTTTGAGAGTTTTTTAATGTCCATTTGTAGACTGAGTGCTAGTTCTGAGTGTTATCGGACTGTTACTATCAAAAATTGACATTTGAAACTCACTGCCAGATCCAAAGAAAAACATTAACCACCTCACAGAACTACCTGGTGCATCAGAAAGACTACGAGTTATCAATGCTGATCTTGATAAACCAGACAGCTTTAATGCAGCAATTGAAGGCTGCATTGGAGTCTTTCATGTTGCTCACCCTATGGATTTTGAGGGCAAAGAAACCGAGGAAACAAAGATCAATAGATCTATCAGGGGAACAATTGGGATTCTTCAGGCATGCCTTAATTCCAAGACAGTGAAGCGAGTTGTTTATACTTCCAGTGCATCCACTGTCAGTTTCAATGATAAGGGCCTAAACATGGTGGATGAAAGCATCTGGAGTGATGTAGATCATATTAGGAGGATCTTTGGTGGTAGTGGGCCGGCCTCTTATGCAATCACCAAGACGTTAACAGAAAAAGCTGCCTTGGAATTTGCAGAGAAAAATGGGCTTGATCTTGTGAGCATAATTCCTACCTGGATACATGGCCCCTTTGTATGCCCTTTTATGCCTGGCTCTGTATGCTCCTCGATGGCAATGATCATTGGTAAGCTTTTGTTTATCAGAATAGCATGACTCACTTCTTTCTGTTACCCTTTCTTAATTAGTTTGCAAGCATCAGAAAGGCAAAATTAAGTATTTCTTCATTAGAATTTGTCTGCATTATTTGAAAAATTTCAGATAGCACATGAATTTTAGGTTGAAGTTTGCAAGAAATATAACTAGGTAAACATATTTCACTGAGGAATGCTTGTCTGACTAATTTGCCTGCACTACCTCAGAAATAGCTATCATCAACTCTGAAACAGGCAAAGAATGGTTTAAAGTCTAACAATGCTAGTCATCAGAAGTTTCACTTGAGGATCCTCTCAGCCTGGAACTTTTCTTATTGTGCAGGTCATCAAGATGAATTCAGCATTAAGTATCTTTATAAAACGCCATTTGTGCATACTGATGATGTGGCCAGGGCACACATCTTTCTGTTTGAGTATCCTGAAGCTAAAGGGAGGTATATTTGTTCTGCTGTTGAAGTCACTATTGATAAGTTAGCCGAATGCCTGTCCGCTAGGTACCCTGAGTATCCAATACCAACTGCTGAGTAAGTTCTGTTATCTTACTGTTATTTGAGTACATATCGATGAAATGAAAATCTAAGTGAAGTCAGTTCCTTACAGTTCCTTGAAGGAGATGACAGGATCCGAAGAATCTGGTAGCCTTTCTTCCAAGAAACTTTTGGAGACTGGATTCGAATACAAATACAGCATTGAAGACATGTTTGATGCAGCAATTCAGTGTTGCAAACAAAATGGTTTTCTATGACTGGTGTTTGGCTTACAAACTGAGTGACTTTGATTTATCTTCCACTGTCATAGTGCATGATTTTCCAAAGGCTAGCACTTGTTGTTACGTTTTGTTCAGTGTAGAAAACTGGAATACTTATTTCATCCTCGCGTTTGTTTAATTATGGGAAATTCTGTCACCAGATTTTTTTCCTTTTGATTCACCAGCATTTGTTGGTCACTAAGGACTGGAAAATGAAACTCTTATTTCTTAATAACCATAGCATATCATGGAGTGATGAAATTAAAGTATTAGCCTGCTTGCTAATAAGATCGTTGCCTCTACTTTGGCCAAAAGAAGATCATAACCTGCTTTACTCTAAAACCGAATTCAGGAGAAAACTGATGACAGAAACTTTCCTTCTCCATTCTGATAGGACGTCTGAAACAACCCAAACAATAACATTCATTCTGGGTATTGCTACTCAAGAGTTCAACACAAACCAGGCTGTATAGTTGATACGTAGGAAATAATGCAGCAGAGGCCAAAACAAACCATGATCAGTCCAAGGAGATTCGAGTAATTTACAATTGGGCTTGTTATGGATTCCCTTCTATTCGTTTCTGTAAGTTTTATTTTGCTTAGACCTTTTGGTTTTTATCGGTGGTCAAAATATTGCTGCTCTGGGCATTTGGAATATTTCATTTGGCTCAGCTATTGAGAAGTGAAATCTGATTTCCTGATGAGACTTACGTTGGAATGTTTGATTTTTTTTTTCCACTTAAATTTTATTTTTTTAAAGAATTAATCTTCTATATACTGTCAATATTAGATGAATAATAAATTATATAAAATTTAAATTTAAAATTCAACTTTTACACCATGCTATATAAATGTAACAGTGATAATGTATACGCTATCAATATATATATATATATATATATATATATATATCTATATATATAATTTACTCTTTTTTTAATCTATTCATTCATTTTAGTCATCTGCATGCACATTTGACTAGGAAGTCCTCCCCCTCCAACTAATCAAAACAATGAAAATGTACGGAGGGGATGTCGAGTGCATCAAAAGAGAAATAAACAGTACCAATAAGTCAAATTCCAAATTTTTTTTTAATTAAAACAATATGAAAAACTGTAACACTCCACAATACAATTCAAATAATGGCAACAAACAATGATAACACTTTTTTCTTTTTTTTTTAACAATGTGGTAACTGGTAAGTGGCCAGGGACGACCCATGCACTTCATCTCGAAGATTAATATGTCTCCTTTGATAAAGACTTGGAGCCAGCAGATGGATATCGACATTCTGCATTTTCCATGTAATCGACAAAACTCAGTACCTCATCATTATTTCCCCCTTTTGGGAAACATTTTGTTCATTTTGGCATAAAAAGAGATACCAAAGAGAGAAAGAAATCGGAATAGACAATAGACTGACCTGTTAGCAGCACAGGTAAAATGCCTCAGACTCGATGCTCGGCTGGTGTATCAGGCTGTTTTCCTGGCATATTATCTTGGAAAGCAGGTAGCTCCATATATGCCTCAAACAACCTTGATAGAAGAGGAAACTCATCCTAAGAAACAAAAAGTTCAATAAGCCATGAATAACTTGATAACAGAAAGAACATATAACGCTAACTCGTTGTAATGCAGCTAACATGCAGGAGAGATAATTGGATCTTCTCATAATAGAAGCTCTATATTTGAAGATTGGAAGGGAAGGATCCTTCATGAAACTAATGGTAAAAGTTAAGCAGCTGATCAATGACT